ACTTTGTAATGGGATCCTTGAGCCAATCAATTATCACTTTTACCTTTAGTCTAGTCCAATAATAAATAACTCCTGGATTGTTGGACAATGTTGTTCTAGGAGGATTTTTTGATCTTGCTATTTAATGATGTCACCATTTTAGTGTAAATGAGCTGACCCTAAAAATGACTTATCCTACTAAGTAATGAATGGTGTCATGCTGCTTTACTATCAGTATGATCCTGGACCAGACATGTTTAAAAAGCTGGTTCTGTTTCCAAACCTTCTTATTGGTCAGTGGCTCATCATAGAAACACATTTTATGCCATTCCTTTGCAGTCCACTCCTGGCTTTTCCTCCAGAATGTGTCTTTATCTGATCATTTGAAGCATAGCTACTTTTTTAAAGTTTTTAAACACCAACTCCTTGAAACTCCTATAGAAGATGGATCTCATGCTGGAATTCTTTGGGATGGCCTTATATAGCTTCTTTTTTTTTATGTGAAATAACTTCCCTCCTACAAGTCCATTGTGTTTTTTTTTATGTTTCTATGAATCTAATCTTAAGTGCAACAAACATGTCAGCCACGGTTAGCAAGAAAAGGAAAGATTACAAACACCAATCCCCTTTCAAGCACAATTTCTTATCTTCTAAGGGACATCTAAGGTAACATTAAGATCACTGGAGTGATGCTAGCAGGTTATTGTGAAGGTTTGGAGACAGTATTAAATTTTTGAATGATTTGTGTCTATGTTTACCGTACTAATAAATGAACCATGGCTGCTAACCATCAGGGTGGCCCACGTAGCAAAAGGTTAGGACATCACCGGTTTCCTTTATGCCTTATGATGGACCGAACCAAAGCCAAGCCTACATGTAACTGAGATTATGACTGTTTGAGCTGCATAGTTGAGAAACCCCACACCAAAGGCCTGTGCTTTTACTGCAGTTAAATGTGGCTGCTCAAAACCTTAACTCAAAAGGAAGAAATAGAAATGCATGCCACACTTTTGAGATTAAGAAAAACATGATGCAACCGTTCATGTCGGGGTTTACCATGTAATTCCTATAGCATGCATTCTAACTGTGTGATGAGATGATCATTTCAAAGGGATACAAATAATGTTTGTAATTATATAACAAGCAATGTAAAAAGAAAAGGCCATCTGAGATATGTTAAATCTGATCATCAAATGCCATCTACATTTGGTAGCAAGGACTCGCCTGTTAGGAATAGAGGATGATCTGCCTGTTGGTTTTCAACACAGAGACCTTTTACACATTCTGCAGCATTATGCCCGGAAATGTATCTTGGCCTTCTGGATCACTGACAACACTCCCACTCTCAATCAGTGAAAACAAAAACAATGACTGGTATTGTTCCATTTGAGGCTTTTTCTATGGCATTAAAGTATAAACCCTTTGTGTTCTATTGGTCCTGGGACCCATTTCTTAACTACTTACACAGTAAATGTTGCAGTGTTAAAGTAACACTCAAGAGTACATTTGGTCCCACTCTGAATTAGC